TGAAGGACACCCACTACCCATACACTCACAGGATCTCCACGTTGTTGGGATCACGTGACCCGATAAGGACGCTGTAGCCGGACTGGGCGATCTTCCCGGCGATGGCACGCCCGTAGTCCCCGCTCCCCAGGACGCCCACCACCTCCTCCTCCTCCTCGGGCGCCTCCGTCGACCTCGCGCCCCTGGTCACCACTTCGAAGAGGTCGTCGCCGTCAGCCTTGCCCATCGCGAGAGGCCGCTGCAGAGGGCGTTCCTGAGGGCGTTCCTGAGGGCGTTCCTGAGGGCGTTCCTGAGGGCTTCTGGAGTCTCCGGGTGTCGCTTCGGCCTCCTCTTGGTGAGGTTTGAGGGCCCTGACGGTGAGGGAGGCTGGGGAAGAGAGGGAAAAGGTCATCGGGGAATAGATATATACCTCTGCTTGCATCGATCGCCGAAAAAGGTCATGGTGTCAGAACAATGCCAGTAGTTTTGACCTGATTGGGAGGAAAAGGGAATAAAAAGACCTTTTCGAGGGAAGGAGAGAGACGGGGCAACTTGAAAGAATAATCTAGATCGATAATAATAATGATAATAGTAATAATGATAGTGATAGAACCATAAATATTGATGATAATAATGATAGTAATAGAATAATGATTACAATAATGATGATGATAATGATAGTAATAGAACCATAAATAATGATGATAATAATGATAGTAATAGAACCTTAAATAATGATGATTGATGATAATATCGTGTCTCTTTGTGTCTTCAATCTCTCTCTTTCGCTAACACACACACACACACACACACACACACACACACACACACACACATTACTAATAGAAGTTGTTGATGTTTATAATGTACATCCGTTTGTTTTATAAGTTCTGAACAACTTTTAATTGATGTTTTGTGTCCTTTAGATTAAAGTATTAAAGTATTCTAGACCATTCATATGGTAAATGTATAATGATAATGGTGATATAAACAATAACGGTAATACTTATGGTGATGTTACAAATAATAACATTTATGAAAATACAAATACTACTAATGGCAATAATGATTATAATAATGACAAAAATAATCTTAATAATAATAACGATAATAATAATAATACCAATAATGACATTCATAGTTATATCAATAATGATAACAATAACAATAAATGATAATGATAATGATAATAATAATGATAATAATAATAATAATAATAATAATAATAATGGTAAGGATAATGAAAATGATAACAATAAGAATATTAGTAATAATAATAATAATGATAATGATAATAATAATGATAATAATGGTAATAATGATAGTAATAAAAACATAAATAATAATTATAATAATGTAAGATAAGAACAGTAACAATAACAACACAACATCAATGATAATGATAATGACAATAAAGAAATATGAACGATGATGTTAACAAAGAAAAAAAAAAAAAAAAAAAAAAAAAAACACCAGCAATAACAATAATAATAATAAAAAAACAAAGCATCAGCAACAACAGCAACCCCCCCCTCCCCCACTTGGAAAAAAAAGAAAAAAAAAAAGAGAGAAAGACCAAAAAAAAAAAAAAAGACGAAACACAGCACACACGCGGCCACCTCTGTCCTCCGCCAGCTCTCCCGCCGGCCTCGTGCTCAGCCGGCGACTCAGTGACCGTGAATCGTCGTCGGGATCTGTTCGGTTCCTCGCAGCTCCCTCTGGCGGATCGATGGGGTCGGCTGCTCTTGTCATCGTGACGGTTTCCCCTTCGGGACCCCGGACGGGACAGGTGATTGGGGAGGGGGGGGGGGGGGGGTAGGGGACAGGTGATTGGAGGAGGAGGGGGAGGGGGGTTGGGGGCAGGAGAGAGGAAGGAGGGGGGGGCAGGTGATTGGAGGATGGGGGGGAGGGCCGACAGGTGAAAGGGTGGGGAGGGGGGAGAGGAGAGAGAGAGAGAGGAGAGAGAGAGAGAGGAGAGGAGAGAGAGAGAAGAGAGAGGAGAGAGAGAGAGGAGAGAGGAGAGGAGAGAGAAGGAGAGAGAGAGAGGGAGAGATGAGACGAGAGAGAAAAGAGAGAGAGAGAGAGAGAGAGAGAGAGAGAAGGACGAGAAGCGAGAGAGAGAGAGAAGAGAGAGAGAGAGAGAGAGAGAGAGACGTTTCCCCTCGTCGGGACTGGTGGCGCTCGGTGCAGGAGGGGGGGCGACAGGTGATTGGAGGAGGAGGGGGAGGGGGGACAAGGTGATTGGTTTTATTTTCTATTTTCGTTTTTATCTGTATGGATATATATAATATATATATATAATATAATATATATATATAATTATATATATATATATATATATAATTTTTTTTTTTTTTTTTTTTTTTTTTTTTTTTTTTTTTTTTTTTTTTTTTTTTTTAGTTTAGTTTGAGGAAGAAGGGTGTGTTGCTTTTTTCTTATTTTGTATGGGGAGGCAAACTGTAATGTCCATTCCTTGGGCCCTTCCGCAACAACACACATCCGTAACAGGCCGCCCCCACACCACCCCCCACAACACAACCGCCAGACGCAAATTAAATATAATACCTCACATCCCTCATTACAACCACATCTTCCATACAAGCCCCCCAACCCTAGACCCTAGATAAACACTTAAAAGAACCCAGACTATCTGGGACCACCAGATAGAAGTAGTATCCTACGTCGAGGTGGGGGGGGGGGGGTTGTGCGATACTGGGAGGGGCTTTAGATTCTTTCTCTATATCATCATTCGACATATCTCACATCATCGCACAGGGAATCATACATTAATTGTCTTTGTATGGCAGTAACGGTGATACTGTATATAGATATAATAGATAAAGGCAATATCACGTTTATTTATCATCAGGATCAGCATCACCTAGCCATGTTTCCTTCTCCTTTTGATTTGGCTTTCGAATTCTACGTGGCACACAGATGGGTGGATGATATAATGTCATCCTATCCACACACAAGCTATCACTACATCCACACAATAAAATGTTATAGATAAGAACAGAAATAGCTAGCACACCATATGAAGAAGAAACAAAAGTTTATTGGAATTTGCCGGAGGCAGTCCCTCGAGAAGGAGTGTCTGTTCCCAAAGCGTCATAATGAAAGGGTTTGTCATCAATATCCATGCTTCTTACACACCACGCCCGCTCGCAATACGTCTGCCGGGCGCGAACCACTCTTCACGCGCACCCACACAACCACAGCGATCTCGCGCATCACGCAGGAACCACACGCCTCACCTCGGCCGTAAATGTTCACTCTGTAGCGGTGAAGAGCTACTACTACACCACACTTAACCATCCGTATCGTTTACTATGTGTTTTGTGTGTCGTGTGTTTGGTATGCATGAAATCTCGGTGTTTGTGTTCTATGGGTACGTATGTCTTCTTATCTCCCTCTCCCTTCCCATCCCCCCTATCTCATTCTCTTATCCTCTCTCCTCTCACCCTCCCCCCATTTTCCCTCCTCTCTTTCATTTGCTCTTCGCTCCTGCTCTATCAGTCGGTCTCATTGTCCTGTCTCTATGTCTTTTTGTCACTGCCATCCTCTGTCGCTTATGTCTCTACTCATCTGTCGCAACTACTATATATGCTCTGTATGTCCTGCCTGCCTTCGTTTTATCACACCCACAAAACACCACAAATATACTACATGACAAGTTTGCCATCTCCGTGAGTGTGTTTGTAGGTGCACATACTACTCCCACTCTCTGTGTCCTCTGAATCTTCACAAACAAATTCAGCAGCAGTGAAGTATCACATAGCCCTCCTCGATTTCAGCCCGAGAGCTACGAGTCTAAATACCATATCTCTTCTCTCTCCCTCTACAGCATCTCCCTCCTCCTCTCTTCTCATGACCTCCCAGCCCCTCTCTCTCTCTCTCCTTTCACCTCTCCCTCGCCTCTCTCTCTCTCTCTCCTCTCTTCCGTCTCCCTCCTCTCTCTTCTCTCTTCTCTGTCTCAATCTCTCTCTCTCCCCTCTCTCTCTCCTCTCCTATACGCTTCTTCTCTCTCCCTCATCCTCTCCCTCTTCCCTACCTCCTCTCTCACTTCACACTCTCTCGTCGCTCTCTCATTCTCTCTCCCCTTCTCTCTTCTCCATTCTCTCTCTACCTCCTCTCTCCCCCCTCTCCCTCTCTCTCTCCTCTCCCCTTCCCTCTCCTCTCGCCCTCTCCCTCCCTGTCCCTCTCTCCTTACTCTCATCTCTCTCTCTCTCTCCTCTCTCNATGTTTGAATGAATGAATATATATCAACACACTACAGTCCGATTATGTACGTATAGCACCACAATCACACACACGACACACAGCACGTATATATTATATACATACGTATGGATATCTATTATACGTACAGTAATAGATGCTATATTAATAAAGTTATTATATATATATAAGTATATATATAGTTCTAATATTATATTTTTTTATAATGCCTACTTTATATGACAAGTGGTGACAAAGTAGAGACCGGCTTGTGTCTTCATCCAGTTCTGCCCGTCTCTCTTTCCCCTCTCCCTCGATGTCTGACGAGACGTCCTTATTTTTGCAGTGCTGGAATGTCAGATTAATTCCAATCGTTGGTAAAGGTGGCGAGTTCGCATGGCTTGGCTCTGATGGGCGAGACGTAGGTTATTCGGAAGGACTTTGAAAATAAGGTGCGTTCCAAGCTGTTCCTTTTGATGATGATACACCGGAATGTAGTTTTTTGGTTCAGCCACGGTAGTGTTAACAGATATTATTTACATCAACTTTACGTCCACATGAAAGGCAAAAAGCCTCGTCCCTCTACAACGTCCCTTAAGTTTCTGATGGCGTATCTGGAGACAGGAGTCCTAGGCTTTCTGCAGATGGTTCTCAGTGATTCCCATGGAAGCCAGAGTAACGGCGTGGGTGGATTTCGCTAGTGAGGGGTCACACCTTCAGTAGCAAGGAGGGTCACATCTTCCAGAGAGTACCATCAAATATTGTACGGCAAGAAGCGTCTCTCTCCTTTCTTTCTTCTTTTTCCTCCTTCGCCCCTGCCTTGCTGAATTCATGTCCATTCCTCTCGCATTCTTTCTTTCTTTATTGCCTCCCTTATTTTTCTTTCTTTATTCTTCCTCTTCTTTTCTTCTTTCCCTCCCGTTCTTTATTCATATCGTTCTTATTTCCCTCCTTATCTTCTATTTTTCTTTATTACCTCGCCTCGTTTAATTCCTGCTCGTTCCTCCCTTCTTTTTTTTTCTTCATTCATCCATCTCTTCTTATTTCTTTCCTTCTTCCACTGCTATCCCTCCTCCTGCTTTATCTTTTCAACTCCCCTTCTTTTTTCAATTCACATTCCTCTTTTTCTTCGCTTTTTACTTCCCTACCGATCCCTCTCCAACCGTCCCTTTTCCTATTTCCTTCCTTCCTCCTCCTCATTTGCCTTCACTGCCGTCCTTTCCCTTTAACTCATTATTATTATTATTATCAATTATTATTTTAATTAATATTATTATTATTATTATTATTAAGTTTATTTTTATTATCATTTGTACTTATTATTATTATATTAATTATGATAATGATAGATGATGATGATGATGATTGGAATGATGATGATGATGATGATGGTGATAGATGATGATGATTATTCATTTTCATTATCATATAACATGTATTATTATTATTATTGTTTCCATTTATCTCACGCCTTCCTTTATCCCCCACAGCTCCTCTTGTCGTATTCCCGTATTCTTTTTATATATATAACCTAGTATATTATATATGTATATATTAATATTGTGATATTAGTATATGCAGTATATATATGTATATTATAATCGATTACTATATATATACTTCTATATAATATATTGTTACCTAATATATGTAACTAATTATTTATATAATTGCAATTAATATATATTATATTTTATATAATATATTATGATATACGTAAGTTTAGTTATATACTATATACTAGTAGTCTATATATAATATAGTTATTATTATTATATGCAGTATATATTATATACATATAATATAATATATATATATATATACTATATATATTATAGCTATAGCTGGCATATATATAATGCATATATATATATATATATATATATATATATTAATATAATATATATATATATAAATTATATATAGATATATTATACATATCTAATATATATATATATATATATAATATATATATATATAATAAATATTCATAGTTTTATAAAATGCATATAATAACTATTATGTATCAAGGTAATTATTGCATATATATATATATATATATGATAAACTAATAGATTACATAGATATATTATATGTATTATATAATTAATATGATGTATATTATATAATTTATTAGTATATATATAGATATATATGCATATATATAAATGCATATATATATATTTTATATACTATTAATATGAACTATATATTATATATATATATAGTATACTATATATATAATTTAATGAAGTATATATTTTATATATATGCATTAGTACTATTATAATATTATAGTCATATTATAAATATATTATATATATATATAATATATTATTTATATATATATATATACTATATGCAATATAAATGTATAATATACTACTATATAATTATTATATATATAGTATAATTACTATAATATATATATATAATAGTTATATGATTATTATACGTATTTATTTTATACGTTTAAATACTTGCATGTATATTATTATTATAATATATCATATACTATAGTTAGAATATAT